ATTAAAACACCCTGCACTATGCTGTAAGTGAAACACATGAAATAATTCTTGCCTATGCATACATCTATCGGGAAAAATAGTACATCAAAGTGCATCTAGCTGCTTGTAATTTGTCATTTTCTGTGATATCTTGAAATTTGTGAATCAATTAGAATCCAAAAAACATCAGACTGTAAATTATCTTTCATACAATGAAAGACACAACTCTTTTACCCAATACGTCTGTCTCTACATCAGTAAGAAAGTTTAAATCTCACAAATGATGAATGTGGCCCCAGATGTCTATATACTTAGAGTACAGGTGGGAGAATGATGAGAGATTAAACATCTATAGCACAAATGAGGGATATTCACATACAGTTTCTGATTCCAGTTTCGTCACTTGCTTTATGTTACAAAGTTCAACTTTGTTTAAATATAGTCAGCAGAAAAAGTGAGGTATGAAATCTGTTGGACTTCCTATCAGGAGGTCAGGTCTTTAGTATCATATCATTAACTGGAATAACTTTACAACCAAGTTAATAATGAACAATAGAAGGATCCATGTTTGACTTGTGATGGTAATTAAATTATTCACACAGGAGCATCTAGTGGACAATCTGGAATATAGTCGTAATGGGTATGGTTTCTATTATCTTGTGATACTCTGCAATATCGGTTTATAAGATTCCCTGTTACAGAGATCCTAGGTTGCCAGACATATACTACAGTTGGAAAAATATTCAGCTGGCTATTTTAAGGTCACATGGCTGACACCTGGGTGGTGCGCTGAGTAGTCAGGCAGGCTGCCATACGAAAACCATCCATCCATCCATCCATCATTTGCTGCTGCTGGGCAGCAGTCTAAGCTGGGATGCCCTGACCTCCCTCTCACCAGCTACTGTAACTTCTCTGGCTCCACCAGGGGGATACCAAGGTGTTCCCAGACCAGCCAAAAGATATATTACATCTCCAGCATGTCCTGAGTCTGCTCCGGAGTCTCCTCATGTCTGAACCACCTCCCCAGGGAGGCATCCTAGACAGATGCCTGAACCACCTGAACTGGCTCCTTTCAATATGGAGGAGCAGCAGCTCTACTTTGAGTTCCGCCCCAATGTCTGAGGTCCTCACCCTATCTCTAAGGCTGAGCCCAGATATGCTGTGAAAGAAATTCATTTCTGCCTCTTGTATTTGCAATCACATTCTTTCAGTCATTACTCAGAGTTCATGACCATAAGTAAGGGTGGGAACATAGATCAACTGGTAAATCAATAACTTTGCCTTCTGGCTCAGCTCTCCCTTTACCATGACAGAAATGTACAGTGTCGACATTACGGCTGAAGCTGCACCAATCTGCTTGTCAATCTCCTGCTCCCTTCCTTTACCCATGAACTAGACTTTGAGATACTCAAACTCCTCTGCTTGAGACATCCTTCACCAGGAGAGAGCAATCCAACCTTTCCCAGTTAAGAATCATGGCCTCAGACTTGGAGGTACTGATCCTCTGCTCCGTGGATGTGCCTAGAAATTCTGTCCATAAAAATTTTGAACAGAATTGGCGGTAAAGGGCAGACCTGGTGAAGTGCAATGCCCACTAATAACCAGTGTAACTTACTGTTGGCAATGTGAACCAAACTCTTGCTCCATTTAAACAGGGACATCATGGCCTGCAACAACAGACTTCGTACCCCATACTCCTGAAGCACCCTCCACAGGACCCCCAAAGGGACATGATCATGTGCCTTTTCCAAGTCCACAAAACATATGTAGACTGGTTAGGCAAACTCACTTGACCCCTCCAGTATGCTTGTGATGGTGAAGAGCTGGTGCAGCATTCCACAACCAGGACAGAATCCTCATTGTTCCTCCTGAATCTGAGGTTTGACCAATTAGTGGACGCTCCTCTCCAGTACCCCAGCATAGACCTTTCCAGGGAGGCTGAGGAATGTGATCACCCTAAAGTTGGAACAAATCCTCTGGTCCCCTATCTGAAAGATATGGATGTTTGGAAAATGCAATAGCGAGACTAAAAACTAAGACACCCAGAAGCGATGGCTTTCCTTCAGAGTGGTACAAAATCTTTAAAAAGGAGTTGACCTCTCTGCTACTGGCCTCTTTTAATGAAACTTTAAAAGAAGGTAAGATACTTCACTCATGGAAGGAGACCATAATAACAATAATTCCAAATAATTCCACTGGATCCAACTCACCACCAGGTGGTGATCAGTTGGCGGCTCAGCTCCTCTCTCCTACTAAGATTCCAAGGTCTCCAAGAAGGCCAGATACAGAAGTTGAAGGTGAAGGAAGGTGACCAACTAGTTCACCGGGGTAAACGCTACCATACTAGCATCGATCCAGGGAGCTATAAGTTGGCCCACACCTGCTCGGCACCTCTCACCAAGGGCTGGTGATGAAGATGAAGACCCTGTAATAAAAACTAGGGTACTCCCACAAATAATCAGTTATTAATAAAGGTGCTTTTTGATGCAGTGGTTCCCAGACTGTTGCCTATGATAGAGAATTAGGAAGGGACTGGAGCTGATTAAGTTGAACAGTGTTACAAAATGGCTTGCATTCAGAATTACTTACCAATAAGGAGATTTGTGTTTAAATCTGTTACTACTAAAGATAAAAGGGCCCACTTGTAGATATTACATATAAAATTAGCAATTATGGATTTTGAATCTGATCATTTGAATCTGATTGTGGTCAATGTTATTTGTCTTTAGACAGCTAGAAGCCAATAGCATGGCTGCAAATGTTGGGAAAGTAGGAAGGAAGTGATGCAATATGGTGAGTGATGGGGAGAGAGAGATAGAGTGAGGCAGAAGATATGAGTACTAGCTGGCTAGTGTTTCATCTTTCACATCCATCACACCACCCAATGCCATCTGAAGAGTCTGGCCCTTGGTCCTGCAGATGGGTAAGTCAACAAGAGGCAAAGAACACATAATATCTACAGTATAATATACCTGTCTGGAGAATGCTGTGGTAGCCAAGGCACAGATTGAAAACCAGGCAGCTGTATTTGCCAGTAAGCAAGGACATAGACGGGGGTATATGACGTCACATCACCAACATACCAAAACACAGTGCAGGAGGGTCCCGGGCCTGGCCTGGCCAGCACCTCCCTCACCACGCTAGAATTTTAAAGGAATTTGGTCTGTTTCACCTTATATTTATCCCCCACTGAAAAAAGGAAGTCATGGTTGACTACTTAAAAGTTCCAAATCAAACCAGAGAAATTAAAAATATAAAATATGACTGGAAATATTCTTCAGTTAGATTTTAATAATAGGATTTTGTAGGAGAGGAGAGATGTAAGGAGTGTGTGCTGGTACAGTGCGTTGCTGCATGATAAACCACCTCACGGATGTGAACCCGAGTGCAGCTGTGTGGCAGGTGATGCCTCAGCACCACACTAGTTTGAATGGAGTAGAACAGTGAGAAGTTTTTTTCTGCTGGCTGGAGTGCCAATCCTGCCACCAACCCCCAAAATTTTCACTGGAAGTTGGAGGACTATTTTTGTAGGGGTGCTACTAAAAGTATTTTTTTAATAAAAAATATTTATTTAATGTCTACGTTCTTCTTTCATTAATTTTACTTCATATAAAAGAGTTTTGTGAATATTTTGAATGAAAGGCCAAGAGGATAAACAGTCTTTTTTTTCAAAGCCTATGTTACTTATACATTGAGGGTGCTAAAAATTCTGGGGGGGGGGCACTATACATGCAAACTGGTGACCCTGAGAGAAAGTTTGGTTTGTTGGTAACACTTTACTTGAAGGGGCACAAATAATATAGTATTATGCTCTGACTTGTGTATTAATTAACCACGAACTAAGTCTTAGTTACATACTGAACTTGTGTTCATTCATCATTAATGTCCCATCCCTTTCTTTTATCTCAAGCAATTACTATATTTGTTGCTAGGCTATTTCTGTTAATTCTTTTGTGAACTACTCAAGGAACAAATAATGAATTACAGATGTGAAATTCAGATCTGGCTGGCACAGTGGTGCAGTGGTTAGCACTATTGCCTCGTATCTCTGGGACCTGGGTTTGAGTTTCTGCCAGCATTCCATATGTGTGGAGTTTGTATGTTCTCCTCATGTTGGTGTGGGGTTTTCTCCCACAGTCCAAAATCATGCTGAGGTTACTGAATTGTCCAAAGGTGTGTGTGTGCGCCCTGCAATGGGTTGGGGCCCCATCCTGGTTTGTTCCCTGCCTTGCACCTGTAGCCTCCAGGATAGGCTTTGGACCCCCTGTGACCCTGAACACGGTAAGTGGTTTTAGAAAATGGATGGAAATACAGATCTCATGTTTGTTCATCATTAAAACATCATGATCATGTTTTATGTCAAGCAGTTACTATATTTGTTACTAAATCTAATTCTGTAAACCTTTGTGAACTACTGAAGGAACCACTATGAAATTACTGAAGGAACAAGTAATGAATAACACGTGAAATACTGATCTCATGTTTGTGCACCATTATTAAACCGTGGCACATTTTTTTAAGTAGCTCCTTTATTTGTTCATTTTTTGTACTTCAGTAGCAACTAAGTATCTGTGCCTCCTCATGTAAAGTGTTACGGTTTGTCCAAAAAATCACTAGATTTATCACGAGTTGTTTTTTTAGGGGGGAAAAATCGCTAAAGGGACCTCAAAAGTTGTAAAATTCAGCGATAAAGTCGCTCTATTGGAAACACAAGGTATGCCGCGCATCTTAGTCTTCGCATTACTTTACCGTACTCCCTTTAACCCAGTGCGCATGCGTCATTTCCATACTCTTTAACTTAATAAAGGCATGTTCAACAAGTGCTTTTTTGTCACATACACGATATGTTTCCTATAAATTAACTTGATTGTGAATGATACCGTACTCAAACTTGCTAATAAATAAATAAAAACTATTCGACTGGCCTGCGTTATCTGACTGCTTTAATATTTCACCTTAGTATACATACCTGTAATAAAGGTGGTGGTTCATAAAATACAAGGGCTTGCAGTTTCAATAAGCGATCACTGCTACACTAAATGATCAAAGTTTTCGATAATAATAAAGTAACAGAAATTAATTTTAAATAGCCTACCCTTACATGGGATTACGTCATGAGACAACCAAAGACGTATAAAACTGAAAGTTCCTACTGTAGCGATTTGATAGTACGCTGCATTAGTCTGCTTGTGAGGCGGCATTTATGCAGTAGCTAGGTATATACGCTAAAGCCCTGTACATATTAATAGGTAAGGTCGGGTTATTTCATTATTTAAGAACCAAAAAGATATTAATATCGTCATTGTAAAATCAATTGTAAACAACAAGTAAGGTTGCAAATTGGGGATGAACCTTGTAGAGCTTAGTAGCCAACAATGTTGTTTGAAAGCTGGACGTTTGGTTATTTATAAACGTGTTACGTGTGTGTCGATGTGATTAAATAAGTTTATTTACAGTCAAGTTTACCACAGTACTTTCATTTCGTTGTAGGTTCCGGTACAGTACGATTGCTCGTACATACGCTGTTTTATTACGCTTTATCTTCTTTTTTTCTGATTTACCACATATAATGAGCTACTACTATAAACATTAATATCAGCAGACTCCCATCGTTTATGGTCCGGGGACAGGCGCGCAGTGCTTAGTTTGAGCCTGTTGATCGTCGAATTCTGTGAACCTAGAGGCGCAGCTGCACATGTTCGCGAGGTTCCCGTTCACGTGCACGAGCATTCTTCGCATTTTATGGAATGCAATTTACCTGCGTGTTCTTGCAAAATATATAGGAAGCTACGAGAGTGGGTATTTCTGAGCTCCGAAACACATCGGCAGTGCTGTGTCTAATTTCCCCGTTTGTTCGGGTGAAAGTAAAATACAGTATTTTACTTAATTTTATTATGCTTTATTTTATTTTGTTTTTCTTTTTAAGATATATTTTTAAGAAATTTCAAAGACGAAACTGAAAAACAACACGATAGACAAAGCAGAGGGATATGGTGCCACCTTGTACAATATTTACAATGCAGATCAAGAGAACTCATCCCACTTATTGTACTTAGGTACTTATCGCCTAAGGAAAGTTTTTGCATGTAATTTGTCTTTTGTGCTGTTGTATCTTGGCGAGCACTAGGTGTAAATTAAACAGAGCTAAACTTGTGAGACCATAAAGCCTTAAAATGATGAAATCAATGGTCCAAAGCACGTACTGTAGTTTACACAGGTCTACAAGAATTTTTTTTTTTCAGGTGCCAAGGTTTTCTGAATTGATTTAGGGTATTTCGAGGGTGCTGAATTAAAAAATCCCATTACTTTTGCTGAATTGGTTCTAGTTTTTGAGATAATGGACATCCATGAAAATAATGCATTCCCCCAATGTGACTTGTGTGTGATAACAAATGCAATAGCTTTTGGTCTGTCTTTTGACTCTTTAACAATGTCTTAGGTAATGAAATGAATAATGAAGCGTTGAAGGAGAGTCTGAAAATTAAATTAGAGTTAAGTTCACATGTGCGTGTTTGCATGTTCATTTATTGCTGTTGTTACTGTGGTGGTGAATATTTACCCAGAACATATCTGCCAAGTCCTTCCAAAGGAAGGGCATCATGGGAACACCTGTCTGGTAAATGAAGTGACACGTTATTTCCACTCTTCCCAAACTAGGAAGTGAGCAGCTACTATGGCGACACTGCACACAATAAGTGAGGCAGAGATCCAGGACATCAGCAGTAGCATCACGTCACGGGTGGTGACAGAGGTGGTGGCACAGCTTCAGGACAGACTTGGAGAGCTGAAGTCCACCACACTTGATATTGCGGTGACAGGAGAGTCTGGTTCAGGAAAGTCATCCTTCATCAATGCCTTCCGTGGTGTGGGCGATGAAGATCCAGAAGCAGCGAAGACTGGTGTCACAGAGACTACCAGGGAGGCCATCCCCTACGTGCACCCCAATATGCCCACAGTGCGTCTGTGGGACCTGCCGGGCATCGGGACACCTGCTTTCCAGCCTAAGACCTACCTAGAAGTTGTAGGTCTGTATCAGTATGATTTTTTCATCATTGTAGCTTCTGAGCGATTTCGGGAATCTCATGTCACACTGGCTCAGTGTATAGGGCAAGCAGGGAAAAAGTTTTACTTTGTACGCAACAAAGTGGACAACGACCTGGAGGCCACAGTCCGGCGAAGAGGTGGAGAACCATCTGCCATATTGAATCAGATACGAGATGAAAGAGGTGCAGCATTGAGGAGGAGTGGGGTGCAACAACCTCGCGTGTTCTTGATCTCATGCTTCCAGCCACATCTTTTTGACTTCCCTTTGCTGCACACTACACTGGAGAGTGAACTGGAGGGCCACAAGCGCCATGTTCTTCTCTTGGCACTCCCCAACCTCACCTCGACTGTGCTCGAGAAGAAGAAGCAGGCTCTCCATGGAAGTGTGTGGCGGACAGCTATGACCGCTTGCCTGGGAGCCATGACACCAGTGTCTGCTGCATCTGGTACTGTTCCCTTGCTCATGGACACACTGCGATCCTACCAGCAAAGCTTTGGGATAGACACCAACTCACTGCACCGCTTGGCAAGTCTTACAGGGAAATCTTACCAGGTATGATGTAATCTGGAATATTCCTTGTTTTTTAATTCCTGACTCCTCATTTTGGTTCATTGCTCAACATGTTTAATCAAAGCATATGCACTATTTGTCTTAAACTATCTGTGTATTTTAATATGCTCCAAATCTCCTTTCCTTGTTAGCATATATCCACTCATGCTGGTTGCTTAATCTCTATCAATGGAGTGTTAAATACTGTAGCTTCACTTTGCTTCCCTTTCACCAGGAGCTTCAAAGAGAAGTGCTCTCCACAACCGGCCAAGAGCTCTCTCAGGAGGGCGTGCAGACGATGCTTTCTCAAGCGGCCGTAGGTCAACAGGTTGTTGCAAATATGTTGGAGAACCGGGTGCCTGTCCTGGGTACCATTGCCTCTGGTGGTATCTCCTTCCTAGCTTCTTATTACACCCTGACATCAGCTATTAATGACCTAGGTGAGGATGCTGCACGGGTACTGAGCAGAGCTCTGAAGGGGTGCGACCAAGAGCAGGATGATGTGCCAGATCCAGGAGATTTCTACTAGACCTCCTTTTCAGTTGATTGAATTTATTCTCCGTTTAATGCTGATTTAATGCTGTATTGAAATGTTATGATATAATTTTCACTATATGGCCAAAACTATATGGACGCCGCTATTAATTAAAGAAATTTTCTCATTACGCCACATCCGTTGCGGACACAGATATATAATTAAGCACACAGTCACATGATCTCCTGGAACAGACATTAGCTGCAGAAAGAGTGGTTGTATATAATAATGACTTTCCACATGGTACCATCATAGGACGCCATCTTTCCAAGTCAGTTCACCACATTTCTGCCCTGCCACAGCTGCCCCAGTCAACCGTAAGTGAAGTGATTGTGAAGGTCAGAATGTCTGGGAACAAACTCAGCTATGAACTGAGCTCATAGAAAGGAACCAGGGATCTCATATATAACTGCCTGTCATGTACACACAAAATGGGACCTGAAAGAGGCATATGCTACTTCCCACGCAATCGTTACGATCTATAGAACCAAACTTGACAACAGAATGTGCGTATCTGTGCGGGAACTCTGACCCATGCCTATACGTACATTTTAGAGAAAGTTGGCAACCCAGGTGGTGATGGTGAATTGAAACCAGATTGTAGGAAAAATACGAGTGGCATTATTACACATATATTGATGCCTTGTGCTTGTGAGTCATAACTTGTACATTTAATTTCATTTCATAGCCCACATCACATATATATCTACTTTATTATAGAAAAAAAGTGGTTTTATTTGTGATAGTGAGCCATAATTATTCCCTAAGGACGTTTCAATAGTAAAATAAATAAGCCGACTCAAATCTTAAATCATATTACATTTGTAATGTTTCATCAGTACTCTCACGCCACAGTTTTTGAAATGTAAGTATATTAGTGGCGGACATGACTGGATTATCACGATCATTTGGGCAATCAGTCTGATTGCTGGAAACATATAAATACTTGTCACACACTTGCATAACGGATTTTTTTAATCTCACGTACTGTCCTGTTTGCTGCGCTCACAGCGATAACAGGATTTCCAAAGTGTTGGCACTTTTTTGTCACTCTATTGCTTTGACAAACAAAATGGTTTTTCTAGTCTCTACCTCACCCACAAGCACCTCGATTTCTGTTTCAGAGAAGTTTCTTTTCTTGCACTTCCTACCATTTGCTAGCATAAGTATATCGGGCTTAAATTGTATACATCAATATTCATGAGGTGTTTTGCATTGACCATTTGTGGTTGGATGTGGGCGTGTAGAAAGCAGAATATGAGGCTGATCCACCTGTACACAATTCCAAGTCGGGTGTGATTTATAAAGACAACATTGCTTGCAAGTCTGTGTACGCACGGTTTTATAAATCTGACTTTTTTGCATACACCATTTTCGGCTTTTCTGCGTATGTATACTTTCAGTATGAGTCCTACACACTGTTTTATAAATGAGAACACTAGGGGCAATTACAGCAAAAAGACAGGACGAAGTTTATAAAGATTCCCTTGATTCCAGAATGAGATATTGGACAAGCTGGTGTCCACATACTTTTGTCCATATAGTATGTGTGTGTAATTAGGACCTTTGTGAACAAGTGTTTGTTTTGTAAGAATGAGTTGGTGCTGACAGGAGCAAGAACAGCAAGAAAAGACTTGCTGTTGCTGACAGCCCATAAGGGAGGGTCCATCTCTCCAGAACATTCCATTCCTCATATTAATATAGACACTGCTGTTCATACATAATATTAAAAAGACATTTTCTAGAGGCAAACGATCCCCTAAAATAGATCATTTCTATAAGGCCAAATGAGTACAACACAGTACCAATCAAAAGTTTGGACATGCATACCTTTGTATGAATGAGAATGATAGTGTCGCATCACATGACCTGGCCACCTGACATATACACAGTAGAGATGGTTTTGGAAGAGTTTGACCGGAGAGTGAAGAAATTGAACCGCCAACCTTCTGAGTCCCAACCCACAGAGTTGCGCCCCAAACAAATTAATTTGCATAATTCCATATATGTTGTAGTTTTTATGACTTTATAATTTTTGTAAAATATAGAGAATAGTACAAATAAACCTCTCTATGGGTAGTCTGTCCAAACTTTTAACTGGTACTGTAGGTCTCCATACATTACATTTTATTTCTATAAATAAACTTGATCTGATTTTGAACATAAGAATATTGTGTGACTAGACATGGAAAAACAACATTGCATAAACTAGAGCAACACAGCTGCATTTTGCAGTAAACTGATCTTGGGGTAATAGTGTGAAAGTGCAGGACTGATGGTAATAAAATGAGACATTTCCTTGAAATGACTGTAATGTTGCTTAAGAGAACAAAAACATCACAATGAAGAAACTTTTTGTGCAGACAATATGCTGCAAGTTTCAACACATCTGGGCTGCCAACCTCTGGAGGGACTTTAGTCATTTTGGAGAAGCTACATGCAAATTCATTCTTAAAATTAGTACTTACACAGCAACATTGTATGAAAAATAAAATGAGTTCATTGCCTTTAAAGACATTTGAACACAAAGACTTCTCTTGTAGTTGTGTATTAAATGATTTTATTTATGGTATTTATTTTAACCCTATAACAATCCAGGTAACCACACAATGTATTGAGTTAAGAAGTGACCGTTGTCTCTAGCAAATAAATATTGCGGATGGATTTTAATTGTCTATTTCAAGTCAGAGTGAACTCATTTTTAGCATTCATAACAAATTCATTCTTAGGCTGAGATGCCTCTGAAAATGTAGTAGCAAAGTTCATGGCAAATTTGTGCTGGGTATCTTGGGAAATTTCACAGATACAGAGGATCTCAGATAGGAAACATGTAGCAATTTTCACAATATGCTCAATATTACTTAATTAAAATTGTATCAACATGTCTAAATGCAAATGTAATAAAATATATACAATCTGATCCCGATAACATGTGTGGGGTTCTGTATGGGTTAATATGATTCATCTGGATGATTTTCCTCTTTTAAATCAGAATACAGGGGTAGAAAGGCAACCTCATAATTATAATTCTTACGAAATCTTATTCTTCTGCCTCAAAGCTTTTACTACGGCTGTAAAAGTTATAGATATATAGTATAGAATAGCATTCTGACTACCCCCCTCCCCTGAATTTGTCTGTAGAGATCATACATTCCTTCCATCAGCATGTGCTGTGACACAATATCCACTGACACAAGTTAGTTAGGACACAGGGGTGTAACGGTGCACAAAATTCAGGGTTCGATACAAAGCTCTGTTTCGGGTTCATGGTTCTGTGCAGTTTCAGTACCGCAGCGAAAGCACAATTTTTTGAAAGTTTATTTTAACTGCCTTAGTTTTTTTTCCATCAGGTCTGATTTTCCTGCAAAAAGATCCTTAAATACAGCAGATAAGTATGAACCACCCCGGTTTCTGCCTTGCTCCAGTCATTCCCACACTCAGATAATCAGTTTCAAATATGTTAGCACATTGGATGTGTTTCCAGCAACATACGTGAGTCAGGGCAGAGCCGAGAGACAGTCTTGGATTTATCAACTACTGTCTCTCTAATGCTGGTGTAATTCAATGGGAAACCAACATGTTCTCAAGCCACTGATTATGACTGACCATAGCCAGCATTAGCTGGCATTAGCCACAATGAGCATAATGCTTCCATGCAAGTTCCGCATTCCGTGTCTAGCAAAGTGTTCGTTCATTTTATTGTGCATTCCGGACCAAACATGACATTACATGAATGGTACACAGCAATTACTTAACCTGTACCATTACAACCCTAAAACAGACGTGCACGAGGAAGCTGCAGAAGGAAGCCCTTGGTTTCCATTTACTGGAAATGTTAGCACCAGAAATGTCACATGAAACTGAAACAGTTTCACACATACATGGTTTCCTCAAATAAATAAGCAAATAACCGACAACAACAATACTTCATTTAAAACACACACACACACCAACAACAGCCTTCCTATAATGCAAAAACAGGTTTGGTTTGTCACGCCATGGTATGGTCAAAGGTGACTAACATTTAGTCAGTCCCTAGCTCCAGAAAAGGAGAATAAAAAACGAAAGAGAAAATGAGGTGCAAGGGACTTTATGGCCAGGTATTTCATAAAAGATGTTGAATTTCGGTGGGGGCTACCCAGTTAGTATGAATTTGATTAAACACTGCATGCTCTTTTAGTGAGAGCTCTTTGTTGTGTGCAAATGCAATGTGTGTTGCATATACGTTACAGCCAGTCAACAACCTGTGCCCACTCGGAAATGTGTGTTGGGGGGGCGGGGGGTCATGGAGACCATGTTGTCCTTGTGCAAAGGCAAGACACATAACCGGCCTGATCATCATCATCTCATCTAAGATACATGGTTCTGTCTGCTGCCCGACCCAAAGGAAACATAAAAAAAAATGCTTTACCCCACCTTTATACTTCAGGTGAGAGTGCGCCATCAACTTGTCCACCACAGCGTGCATCTTCTTTAGGTTCTTGGGACAGAATTCCTCCCTCCTGGCCTTATTCTGCAGGAACACTGCAAAAATCATGAAAAACATAAACAGATACATACATGAAGTGCAAACATGTATACAGAATATCAACGGCCCACTTACCAATGTGAGGGTAGTACTCTGAGCCATCGTCGGAGCCTGCAGA